ATTTCTTTTGGGTCAGCAAAGCCACCATAGAAATTCTCTTATTCACAGCTAACGTAAAATACTCCGTACGTCTATATACATGAGAAGTATTAGGTTGTTGCATTATAAATGTCGCTTTTGGACGTACCACAAAATTTGTTGGAACAGCAACAATTCGGCATCTCAGAAGAAGAGATGGATACTACCTTATTGTGCCAGGCTTCGCCATTCCTCACGCAGAGACTCGACGTCCTTCTCGAAGAATCGTAGCAACTGTGCGCAGGTAAACATGGACACCCAGATTCCGAATTTTTTGTACTCTCTGAACTGTTTCTCCTTCAAAACGTGCCGCGTTGACTCGGATGCGCAGCACATAGATGGAGTGTGACAAGAGCTGTTTGGCGGAGAAGTCAAATGTTTTCAGCCTGGTCTCGCACTTTTTTGCTGGTGATTTTTTTCGTAAAATGCAGCTTTTTCGTCGTGAAGTGAGTTATGAGAATCGATTGTTTTTTCTCGCGAGCCAATGCATGGTTTGATGTAGGTCGATTTTTGTTTACGAGTGCCGTGACCGTGTGAGCTAAATTCATCCCCTCAAGATGTCGTAGAACATTCACGTGTACACACGGAAATTTCGGTCAGTCATCGTTTAAAAGAAAAATTTCTGTAAAAAAACAAATGATATGGGCAACGAGTAGTCGCTTTTATACTCTAGATTTCCTCTTTCGAATGAATGCTTAAGTACCTCTGGATGTTCGAACACAGCCGAGTGGGGTGAAGCTAAATCTGGTGCGACATTTATAATGCAACAACCTAATAAATTAGCTATCGTAATGCAAATATTCAGCATACGAATAAATTATATATTACTCAATATTTCTTGTATTCGACGATTATTCGTCGCAATTCTTGCTTTGGAGGCGTTCACCATTGAGCGCATGTTTTTCACGTCTTCATCGAGCGATTCCAGAACGGTGGATAACCTGAAAACGAGTGAAGTAGGGATAGATGAGAATTCTTTTACGAGAAACAAACAGTAGCGACTATTATGGACCAGTGTGGGCTAGTTCTTGTCCACAGCATCGATTGAGTGATTTGGGTTAAAAGCTTAGTAACAAGAAACTCGTAATTGATTCGCAGTTGATCAATCTCTTTTTGGAATGTGCCACGCATTCCACATTCATTCGGGGATGCTGTTAGTGGCCACTTGAGCGATATGGCCTACACAATAGCCTGTCAGGCCAGCCGTTGGGTTTTGATATATTGAACATCGTTTGTTCCTCAAGCAAATGCCTTTATGGACAAGATGTGATTTTGAAGACTCTAGATAGACCATACGCGTTTAATGTCCCAGGGAACCTGAATGGAGTCGCTGTAGAGGGGTTAAAAATGTCTCGCTGGTGTAACTTGATCTTGTTGGTGTATAACCTGCCCCGCCCCCTACCCCTCTTGCCCTCCCCCTCTCCTCTAGTTGAGGAATGTTTGCTTTGTTTTTGAACAAATATGTACTTCGCTCACAGCCTACAACCCTCGGATGCACAGAGCTTGAATACATGTCCTATGGTTAGTTCAAGGGGATTACATAGTGCCAGCCACTGTTTCCTTGACTTCATTGGCGGAATAACTTCGCAAGTGCCCCGTAAGGTCCTGTCAACTGTACATTAAACTGAACAGTGACAAGAAATAAGCAATGGAAACTCACTTGTGGCTATCTCCTATCCCTTGAGCATCCTTGGCCTTTAGTGAGCTCTCGCACTTTTTCGCATCATTCAGCCATCTATCCAACTCCTTTATCATAAGTTCCAGATCCTCCTGATAACAGCAGCATTTTCTTATAGATTACATTTGTAACTTCAGAAGTGAAAGGCAAAGTTCTGTAAAATAACCCAATAAATACCTGTGCAAAATCGAAGATACGTGATAACGGATACACTGTTCTCGTTACAGTTTGCAGAGAGTTCGAAAATGCCTCGGTCTAGAAATTTGAAACTTATATCCATCTGGAGTTATTGATCTGGATGCCCTATTACCTTTAGCTTTTCTCGAGCTATCGTCCCTTCGTCCACCTCCGCACCGGTATCGTTCAGATTCGTCTCCTTCAGCACAGTTGTGGTATCGATCATTTTTTGCACTAAACCTCCTCTTTGTTCATTGCTGGGCTGAAAATGGCAAACAGACCTAATTAAAGTTCTAAAATCTAATTAAGCTTGAATCGTTCGTGCGTTTGGTCTGTCTTGGTACTGGAGAGTAGACTTCCAATGAAAAAAAAACTAAAGGCAGATCTTGGGGGAGCCGTACAGCACTGTCGAGATTCTGTGTACTCCTCCTCCCCATTTAGGCCAAGCTAGCAATTTAATTGAGAGCTTCTTACAAGGGCCGATTACGTGGTATAAGCCCGATAGAAGCACTAAAAAAATAGTCAATACTGAAGGTCGCGCCCAGGGAAATGAGGAACTGAACTGACGACAGGGGAATGAGGAACTATGGAGACGGGCGAGTCGCAGACACTATTCTGCACTGTGGACAGAGTTCTGATTCTACAGTACCGTCAGAAAAGAAATCACCGCAAGCGTTTCTTGCCATAACTCATGTCGAACTTGTTATTCTTGACTGATTTTTGACAACATTACTCTTCGATTTTCATGCAAGATGCGATAGGCGGGAGAACAACTTCTGTGAACGCGAATGTCCTTTCTTTTTCGGAAAACCTGTAATAATGGCAGGCTTTCAAGCCAGCATTCCCGTGCTTTTTTTGCCCGTCATTGTATCCCAATTACATTTTTCTTTGTTGATGGATCGTAGTGGGAAGTTATATCCTCATTTTGTGTTACTACCCGCTATAAATGTTTGTTCACATTGCTGAAAAGTGAATTCCGTCGCGTGTTCCAAAGTGCGAGGCTCAAATTTGAAATATAGAAAGAATTTTCAGAAGGTCAGAGTAAAGGGAACATTTTCTATTATTACTGATGGGAATATATATAAAAAAACCAGCGAAATATCGAGTATGATTTCGATTATAGGCAAAAAAAGTCTACGGTGGCTACTTCTTTGACGGTACTGTGTGGTAGGACCACACCTACACAATTTAATGTTAGGATGGGTCACGTATTTGACTGGTTATATTTATATATTTATATATAGGTGTTAGATATTGAGATAACAGCAGAGCAAGGTTTTAATAAAATGTTGAAAAGAGTACCATATTTGAATAAAAGTGGAAGTAAAACAAGAGTAAAAGTGTATTAACTCTCAGCATCTAGCAAATAAATGACAGCGTAATCAGCCCTTCAATAGCGGTGTAGCAAGGAGGGTCCAAAAGCTAATTAGCGAAAGCTCAGTCATTTGCCTATGAAGAAGTGGCATGTGCGACCACTATCGGAGGCTGACAACCGATAAGTTCGGCATCAAGATACGAGGCGACATTTTATATGTTGTAGGTTCGCGGCTGGCAATCAGCAGGAAACGCCACTGAGCCACCCCTTTTACTTTTCAAGAATTTACCTCGAATAAAAAGTTCACAGCGATTACTCCTAACTTTTGAAAACGGATTTTGGTTATTCACAAACAACGACTGACCTCAAGAATTTCTGTAGCACGGAAATCCGGCAGAGCTTCTTCTTCTCCTCCACAAGAAAGTTCTCCTCTGGCTGATTTCTCCTTATCGATAGTTTCACTGATCAGAACCACATTTTGTGGTGCAACCTTAATTTATTTCAATAAAAAGGGTACTGTATATAGAAAAATCCGTCCATATAAGGGCTAAACCTAAACGAACAAAAGTGCGAGTATCGCTTCTTTTAGGAAACATACGGAAGCACTGGCTGATACTCGTTTAGCAGAGCATAACAATTTCTGGGAAATGCTTCAACATGGGCGAATCCATTCTTCAAGGGAGACACGGCTACTGATGGCCCTTATTCCGGCATAAGACTCGAGGCCATGAGGTCCACTTTTCAAAAGGTGAGCGCTTGTATACTCCCGGCTATCGTTTCAGAGCTGATAACTGTAAACCGACTGCTGGATATCGTGTCACATCCACTTTTCAATATCATCGCCACGTGTGTCACTGAGTCTGCAATTGCGACAGGCTCGCGGCGGGAAACGAGGCTTACCAATTTATGTTTAACTAGTTGTTTGGGAAAGCCCTTGTGAAAAGCCTCGTGACTGTGCACGGTATTTTTTCTACTTTTTTCAATGCGAAGCCCCACAGTAGATTGTGCGGATCCATAAATTCATACCTCTGTCACCGCTATTTGCTTCCTTTTTAGCTTTGGAGGTGCAGGTCGAGCAGCTGCAGTGCCAGGCCTCGCCATTGACGTGTGAGGCCTTGCGCTCGGTAACCTGCATATCGAAATCACCTTTATTTAATAATGAACAAGTAAACAAAAAGAATTATAAAAAAAGGGCGGAAGTGGTGTAGTGGCAAGTGGCGCGCTTACCACGCGAGCGGTCCGGGGATCAAATCCTGGGTCGTGAGTCGCCCGGGCCAACCAAGCCTTCCATCCCTCCGGGGTCGGTTAATTGGTACCAGACTTGTCTGGGAGGATAAAAACACTGACTTGTACATCGGCTGGCCCCCGCAAGTCATTGTATAGGCCACATCGCATTCAAACGCCACTACGAATGTACAAATGGAAGTAGA